TAAAATTTCGTATAATTAAAGCGAATGTAGTTTTCATTATTCTGGAATTTTTTGTATAATTAAAAATTTCAAAGTTCACAGGAATATTTTATTTGAAAATCGAAAATTTTATTAATTTTCAAAATCTGTAAGTCCTTCACGTTTTTGATTAGGTTTTTGTGGAGACGTAATATTTTCTGTCCCACAAAATTCAAAAACCGTCCTTAAATTCTCACAAATGTACGTCATTTATCGTATTAGTTTCTCCTACCCATTCTAAATAAGTGCAAAAAATTAATTAACAAAACCAACACAAAAAAGCAAACAAATTAAAGTCATTAACATTGGAATTGAATGCACTGTTAATCGTTTAACATATACTGTGTTTTTATCACAACTCATCAGAATAAACAGAAATTAATGCTACGTCTCCTTTTTTTGTACTAAAAAGTTATTCAATAAATTTCCAATGCCACTAGCTTAAAAAAAAATCTAGGCGCAATCGGATGCAGATTCGCTAAAAACTACAAGGACAATTCCAACTCTTACGTAAATCGAAACCAGTTCAACTTTTGCTTTTTTTTTTGTTGTTTTGCCGAAATTTATAAAAGAAAAATCCCGCACTAAAGAAAACGACAAAATATTTACTACGATGAATCGTGCTATTTTCGGCTGCTTCCTGCTGCTCAGTGCATGCACTTGCACTAAACTGCGTAAAAAAAATTTCGCTTTCCTTCTCACCTCGCTAGTAATACTTAATTCCAGCCCCCACGTTCAAAAAGTGCAACAGAAACCAAAAAGACTTCAACGAGTGCTTGTCGAAAGCTGTGAAAGACGCAATCGAACAACTGAATCGTCCTTTTCGGGACGAGGGTTTGCCGTCACTGGAACCCCTGGAAATTCCAGAATTGACCGTCGGGGCCGGAACGGGAGCTGTGGAAATTAGGTGATAATCTCAACTCGGTTATAAATGAAAATTGGAAAGAAGTTTTCGGTGATATAAAGAGTAGTTACGAAGAAGTATTCAACCAAATTGTGCAGACTATATTTAATAATTTATTGGCGAAAGTGCCTTTGGACGAACTTTTCGAAAAATAATTCTCCTACCATTGAAATTGATATTGTTAATAAAAATCGTTTAGAAAAATTAATTTCGCTTTTTCCTCCAAGTTTCCTTTAAAAATCAAATTTAAAGGGGTTTATGTTTATACATCGGAAGAATGTCACGTAGAAATTAGTTTGAATTGAATGAGTTCGTCCCCTCAAAACAGAGGAACAAAACTATTACGTAGGAAGCTACAATCGACAAAACGTTCTGAATATCATTATTATAATTCTTAAAAATTGGTCTAAAGAGTTTAGACAGTACTTTTCTCTCACTGTCGGAAACGTGACGACGGTATGCCTATTATGTTTATTTTCTGGTTACATTTTTGTAGCGGAGCCTTTTAAAAAAAAATTGCGATGACGTCATCAACATTTTTCCAAGGACACGTATATCAGTTTGGATAAGCACAGCAAAACGCTCAAATGCTGTTGAATGCGCCAAGGTCATCAAAAAAGGTTATGAGTGCAAGAAATTTATTTACAGCACATTATCAACGGGAATACATTACATCGGAAGAATGTTACGTAGACATTAGTTTGATTTGAATGAGTTTATCGCCCCAAGACAGATGACTACAATTATTCATAAGCCTCCATTGAACAAAATATTCTGAATGTTATTATTATAATTCTTACCTTATCATTATTTTATTGTTATAAAGACGAGCGTATTCTCACATTTTCCAGAAAATGAGGTGGCTCGTTCTTAATTTGATCAATAATAAATTGACTGATTCATTAATTTTTTTGAGTCACCTGTTTAAGCAAATCTAAAAAATATGAATGCAATGATTAAAAGTCTGTTCATATTTTGCACATTTGCGAAAAATTTATTCGGCAAAATTTTGAGATGCCGTAATCAATTTTTTGGGGTTGATAAACAGATACATTTTCATTAAAAAGTTACCATGCTTACAATAACTTCAAAACGTCAAGATTTCAAAGTATTCAGTTTTGCAATTCTTGATTTAATCAATAAAATAAATTGACTCGGTCATTAATTTTTTTCACACACCGCGTATAAGCACATCTAAAAAATATTTATGCAGTGATAAATCACAATTGTAGATTCATCATACTTTGGACAATGCACGTTTAAGATAGCATTTTTTCGGAAAAATTTTGGGGTGGCGTGATCAATTTTTTAGGGGGGGATGAGCAAATATATTTTGATCAAAAATTTACCATGCCTATGATAACTTTAAAACATCTCCAGAAGGTTTTACATTTTTAAAAAAGATAACTGGGACCCCCGAGAAGGTTTCACATTCTTAAAAAAATACGTTTGCGGCCCCCGAGAAGGTTTTACATTTTTAAAAAAGACAGTTGGGACCCCCGAGAAGGTTTTACATTTTTAAAAGCACAGTTGGGACCCCCGGGAAAGTTTTACATTTTTAAAAAAGACAGTTGGGACCACCGAGAAGGTTATATATTTTTAAAAAACACAGTTGGGACCCTCGAGAAGGTTTTACATTTTAAAAAAAGATAATTGGGAGCCCCGAGAAGGTGTTACATTCTTAAAAAAATACGTTTGGGGCCCCCGAGAAGGTTTTACATTAAAAAAAAAAAGACAGTTGGGAACCCCGAGAAGGTTCCACATTAAAAAAAGGGACATTTGGGGCTCCCGAGAAGGTTTTACATTTTTAAAATACGACAATTGGGATCACCGAGAAGGTTTCACATTTTTAAAAAAATGCATTTCGGGCCCCCGAGAAGGTTTTCCATTAAAAAAAAAACAGATGGGACCCCCGGGAAGGTTTCCCATAAAAAAAAGAGACATTTGGGGCTCCCCAGAAGGTTTTACATTTTTGAAATAGACAATTGGGACCCCCAAGAAGGTTTCACATTGTTAAAAAAAATCTTTTGGAACCCCCGAGAAGGTTTTATATTTTTAAAAAAGATAGCTAGGGACTCCCGAGAAGGGTTCACATTTAAAAAAAAATTAAGTAAATCAAATTAAACATAGAATTTTTTGATATGACATCATCAAATTGTTGGTGGGGATGATTAGCAAAATTTTGGTTGGTATTTAACCATCTAGATGATGGAAGACTACTTTTTTCGTATTCTAGGGGTCATGAAACGTCCAGAAAATATAAAAGTATCCATTTGTGCGATGGACTCGATTACTATACTTCCTCGGGAAGTAAAATCAAAGTAATTATATTATTTTCATTCTTTTATATTATTGTTACTATATGACGGTAAACCTCGCCTACGGCTCGGTCTCAAAGCCATACGACAACCCGCACACATGCAAGAAACTCAAAAAGTCAATTTTGCAATGATATGAGAATAATTCGTTCCTTTGGAGACTGAAAACGTCGGGTAATTAAAAAAAAATGATTCTAAAGTCCTCAATATTTTTTCTCAAAAATTAAATCAATTCCATTGTTAGTTTCCGATATTTTTTTTCTTAAGAAGGAATCGTTTTACTGAATAGTAAATTTTGCCTGCAGCTCGATTTAAAAAAAAAATAGAATGAATATACTTTGAGAAGTTTACACCAATAGCGAGGTTCGTCATTATGCCGGGTGTCTGGAAAATGGCCAGTTGCTACGTTTTCCGAGTGGAACTTTCGGTCTATTTTCAGAATTTAATATCTCCGTTATTAACAAACTTATTGTTTTGAAATTTTAAATATATGTTGTCCATGAAATTTTTGGATTACGTATTTTTAAAAATCAATATCTCAATTATTAAAGGAAATTTCAGAGCACAGTTTTCAACACTGTTTTCAGCTTACAAAACTCCAGAAATCGTACTTTTCGACTTTTTTTGTTAGAATTGATACGCGTTGTCCTAGAAGTTGCTAACTTTTATTTTAACTATATCTCAGTCCCAGCAAATAAAGTAAAAATAGACCCGGTACGATTTCCAAAGTTTTGCAAACTGAAAACAGTGGTGAAAACCCCGTTCCAAAATTTCCATAAATAACTGAAATATAGATTTTTTTAAATTACATGATGCAAAAACTTCAACAGAATTTAAACAATATATGATAATAAATTGTTAAAAAAAAACTACCCTCACAGTTATGTAATGAAAGTTGTGGATAAGTTACATTTAAAATTTCATAACAATAAGTGTGTTAATAATATTATTATTTTTGAGTCAATTTTGGGACCCCGTTTTTTTTTTTTTGAAAAATGTAAAACAACCTCGAGGTTCTCGATATTCCTGTTTGGAAAGAATCTGAAAGTGCTTTGGTGCCTCTTGTGTCTTTCTTATAATAATTTAATTAAATTTTTTAGGATACTGTCGTTTAAGTCATATCTCATTTGCCAAAATCAGTCTTATTTTAGCAGCTACTAACCCCGCCCACCCACCCTCTCTTTCCTTAGCGGGTATGTGATTTGCCAAAATCAGTTTTATCTTAGCAGATACTACCCCCACCCACCTGCCCTCACTTTTCTTCGGGGTATATCATTTGCCAAAATCACTCTTATCTTATAAAGAACTACCCCGCCCACCCACCCTCTCTTTTCGTATGTCATTGGCCAAAATTAGTTTTATCTTAGCTAGTACTTGCTAAGATAAGACTGATTTTGGCAAATGAGATACCCTCTAAAAAAAAAGAGAGGGTGGGTGGGCGGGGCTAGTACTTGTTAATGTATGACTGATTTTGGTAAATGACTCGTTACAATTTATTATATTTAGGATTTATTCAGCAAAATTTTGAGGTAACGTCATAAATTTTTTAGGGAAATCAGCAAACTAAAAAAAATTACTTTCGCAAACAAAAAAGCCTGCGTTGCATATCGTTTACCCACGCTAGCTTGAAACTATATCCTCACATAACTTGAGCTGAACTGACATGACGTCACCAAAAACGACTTCAGTTGACTTGATATGACCTGACTTGACCGTACCCAACCCTAGCCCTCAAAACCCCAAACTAAAAAACTACTCACCTCGTGCGTGATCTTCAACGACCTCACCGTCATGGACACGAAATCATCCCCGCTCTGGAACGCTGCCACATCCGAGAACCTATTCTCCATCCCTGCCAAGATCTCGTACACCTCCGCATTACTGTGATATTTCGGCCTCAACACGTTCTCGGTGATGCCGAAGTCGTACCCATCCGCCCAGTGCATCGGGTCGTCCTTCATCAAGCTCACGTTGTAGTCCACGCTGCCCTCGCGCGGCACCACCACCTCGTTGGTGTAGCTCTCGTAGCCGGGCGCCTCGATGGTCACGTTGTACCTCCCCGGCAACAGGATCCTGTAGTAGTCGCCGCCCTTGTGCGACTTCACGTAGTGGCTCACCCCCGCGACCAGGATCTTGGCGCCCTCGATGGGCTGGCCGATGGTGCTGCGCACGAACCCGCGGATGCCGCGGTTGGTCTGCTCCATGTAGGTGAGCAGGGCGTCGCGGTTGTCGAGCCAGTACCTAGGGAGCTCCTTGGCGTACGGGTATTTATAGCACCCGATCTCGATGGTGAGCTCCATGCAGCCGGCCACGAGGTAGTTCCAGTCCTGCATGCCGCCGCTGACGGAGTACCACTTGGCGCCGTTGGTGATGCCGTCCTGGAAGCGCTCGTCGGGGAAGAGCGGACACGCGGCGCCCTGGTGCATGGACTTGTGCGCCTGGGTTTCAAGACGCATTCATAAACCACAAATACAGAAGCACTAGAAACTTACATCTGAATATGAGTGCGCTAGGAACTTAAAAACAACATCGTCTGGAGACAAATTCTCGCCTGCTTGTCCCGGTGGATTATCATCATATGGGTAATTAGCAACCAAAGCCCCATTGTGAAGGTTTGCCGATAAAACGAAAGGTTCCGACAATATCCAATCCATCACAGCCTTCGTTTCCGGTTGAAGAGCACGATTAAACTAAGATAATAATAACAATAATAACAGTAATAACACCACAAAATTTAATATAAATAAATAAAATACCTCATTAATATAATACTGATCTGGAAAATTCCTGTTCAAATCTACATTATTTGCATTACCCCTTCCTACGGCACTCGAATCATCCCCTAAAGCATTCAGTTCACTCACTAACATAAAGTTACATAAAATAGATAACGCACCTTCATGGCTCCTTTCGTACCCATCGGGGTTCATACTGGGCATTAAATGAATCCTTGTACCATCCAAAAGCCTGGTCACTCTATCGTCAACCCCGTAATGCTCGCACAAATACTTCATCAAATACAATAATAATTCTCGACCAACTATTTCATTCCCGTGCATATTCGCTATATACTTGAACTCAGGTTTACCTAAATAACCCCAAAAATTAATCATATTGAAGATCCACCAACGCCGCACTTTATTCCATTTACTTTTAATACGCGAAAGACAACAATGACTCACCTGGGGTGTGTTTCATAGGGGTGCTACTTATAACCATCACCCACAAATCCCTCCCCTGCACCGACTTTCCTACAGAGTGCAAATGGGTGATGTTGGGATAGGAGTCATTGATCTCCTTAAGGAACTCCACCATTTCGTGGTAGTGGTGGTGCTTGAACAAGTCACTATCACTCGACAAGAAACCGTAAACGTCGAAAGTCCGCTGGGTTTGATTTAGTAAAATTTTATAGTCATCTGCAACAGTCAACCACACAAATTTAGTTTGAGGGTTTTCACAAAAACAAGCATGGTTGGTTAGTGCGCAGAATGTGATGGTGCCAGTGCCCGGTGAAGAGAAGGCTGTTTATCCACACTAGCTTGAAACTGTGCGAAACTGACGACCGATGATTACGCTGGCACAACTCATTTCGGACCACAATTTAAAAACAATTTCAAACATACAGGGTGTTTTTGTAAGTCACGTAAAAAGATAAAATTGGTTGGGTAAATATTTCACACTCTCACAATTATCAGAGGATTTTATTTTGTCTTTTGTTACATCATAGCATTGGTATCCAATTCCACATTTTTTACGTTTGTTTTTAACAAGTTTTGGCTGAAATTTAATACTTTTACAGATAAAAATGACTCATTTTATTCGTGGTCACATAGTGTCGACGTTCTTCACTCTCCACTTATTAAGATGATATTTTTTCGTATTAAGTGCCTCAGAAAGACTGACAAAGCCAGTCCAGAGCCAAACGGGAAGTGAATCCACAGGCGAACCCGATGAATACACCCAAAAGGGAATGATGAGTAATCCCAAAAGAGAACAACCAGCTAAACAAAAGATAACACAATAATTAAAAAAGATTGTCTATAACAGTCTGGCGTTTCCAACAGTTACGAAGACAACTGGGGTAAAAAAAAGAAGCACAAAAGGAAAATACTAATTCTAACGACACTACATTAAAGGGAAAAATAAAATTCAAATAAAATGTCTCACTGGTAAAACAATGTCAATCGTATTAAAAACACAATAAATAAAAAATGCAACAAAAAACGCAAACAAATTAAAACCCAGACCCAAACACACATCAAACGGATTACGAAGCAGCTGGAACCAAAAACGACGAAAAAGAAGTTAATAAAACCATTCATTTATTTTTTTTTTGTATTATCTTTATTTTTCTACTGATTTCATTCTTTTAGTAGTGTGATCTTAATGTAGTGCTTATGGTTTATTGTGTTTAGCTGCCACACAGACCGTGAACAGGTTATGGGTCCAGCAAATCCACGGAAAAATCGTTACTGTTACCGATACTCTGGAGAACACCGTCTAGATCACTTTTCCGAAAACAGAAATGCAAAACAAGGAAAAAGAAGAAAACTATTAGAAAATATCCAGTTTTTTTACAGTCCAAGAAATGCCCCTTTTTTAAAAAATTACAATTTGATTTAACGACATTTTATTTGTGATAACCTCCATATATTAAAAATAAGAAATACCAGCGAGTGTGGACAATATGAAATGTAATTGAAATAGACAACCAACGGGAAAACAGGTTTTCTCAATGTTTCAGTACATGCCTAACTTCGACTGTTCATGTTCACATACTGAAAGAATTCGACAATTAGCACGTTCCGATAACAAACATCTGCGTTAAAAGAAAATGAAATTTGACTGATTTTGTCTTCACAAACAGAGGATAAGACTGATTTAATTACGCTACCTACAATGGAGAAAAACGGGCCGAACATAATTTTGGGCGAGCTGTGATCATAATTATTTTATTGTTATTCGTACATTTTCGAGACAAAGGGGTAAACCGTTTTTGATTTGACAAAAAAAAGTAGGAGCGCGAGCGTTTCCCATGACTCGAGGGGAAGTGTTGGAGCGTCACCTATGCGCCAACATGCGTGTCCCAAATATTTTATGTGTACTTGGTGCCGCCATACTGGTGCTCATTCCTTTCTCTCTGTGACCACCGTACGTTACAGACGTACTGAGCTGTGTCTGGGGGAATTTTAGACTTTACATTTCTATATTTGGCATTTTTTAAACTATGTTGATAAAGTAGTTACCATTATAATGACGGTAAGTAAAAGGAAAAATGGTGTACCTCCCAAATCCTGTGCCTGTCGAAAACGATGAAAGTCTAGATGGCGAAGAACAAGAGGCCGAAAACGAAAAAGCCGTCACAAATCCTCAACGAGAAATTGTCAAGAGAGGACCCGGAGACCCAAGTTAGTCAGAACAAGACAACGAGGTCGTCCACGAAAAGTGTACAACTAAATCCGCAAAGAAACGAACGTAGCTGAGTTAATTAATTATACGTGTGCAGCATATTCTGCCCTCGTTCTTCATCGACCGATCAAATGTACTTAACACTTACCAAAAGTTATGAGTGCAAAAAATTTAATTACAGCGCATTATCAACGGGAATACATTACATCGGAAGAATGTCACTTAGACATTTGTTGGATTTGAATGAGTTAATCCCCCCAAAACAGATGAGACAGATTCATACGCTTCCATTGAACAAAATATTCTGAATGTTATTATTATAATTCTTACCTATCAGTATTTGATTGTTATAAAGACGTATTCTCACATTTTCCAGAAAATGGGGTGGCTCATTCTTAATTTCATCAATAATAAATTGACTGATTCATTAATTTTTTTGAGTGACCTGTTTAAGCAAATCTAAAAAATATGAATGCAATGATTAAAAGTCTGTTCATATTTTGCACATTTGCGAAAGAATTTATTCGGCAAAATTTTGAGATGCCGTAATCAATTTTTTGGGGTTGATATACAGATACATTTTCATTAAAAAGTTACCATGCTTACAATGACTTCAAAACGTCAAGATTTCAAAGTATTCAGTTTTGTAATTCTTGATTTAATCGATAAAATAAATTGACTCAGTCATTAATTTTTTTCACACACCCCATATAATCAGATCTAAAAAATTTTTATGCAGTGATAAATCACAATTATAGACTCATCATACTTTGCAGAATGCACATTTAAGAAAAAATTTTGGGGTGGCGTGATCAATTTTTTAGGGGGGATGAGCAAATATATTTTGACTAAAAATTTACCATGCTACTAATATGTGATTTGCCAAAATCAGTTTTATCTTAGCAGATACTACCCCCACCCACCCGCCCTCACTTTTCTTCAGGATATATCATTTGCCAAAATCAGTCTTATCTTATAAAGAACTAGCCCCGCCCACCCAGCCTCTCTTTTCTTAGGGATACGTCATTTGCCAAAATCAGGCTTATCTTAACAAGTACTAGCTAAGATAAGCCTGATTTTGGCAAATGAGATACCATCTAAAAAAAGAGAGGGTGGGTGGGCGGGGCTAGTACTTGTTAACAGGCGCGGATCCAGGGGGGGGCAATGGATGCAATTGCCTGACACACGACCGAGGTCCTTTATTTTGACCAATTTCAAAATTTTGAAATCATATTTCATTTTGTAAATACAGTACAACCTCTATAATCCGAACTCACGATTGTCTCAACATCCAGTAATCCGAACAGAGGCTATTTGAAGTCGATGCCTCTTTAATCCGAACAAAAACTCTGCAATCCGATCTGAACTTGAAAACATGCATCTACTTCCAAAAATGACGCAAGATCTTTCTGCATATGTTGGATGGAATATTTTGAAATTTTTAAAAATTGCGATATTTCAAACCACTGAATTAATTAACTAATTCTGGAAAAACGGATGAAGTTATCGGAGACCCGAAATCTACAAGAGAAAGTATTTAGTTAAATTTCGAAAATCGTTGAAAATGAGTGAAAATTTGCATGAGAAAAATTTCATTTTCGAAAAAATTTTCTAAAAGTTCTCAAAAAATTCAGAGATATATATCCCGACGTGTTGATTCCAAAAATATACCATGTTTATGGTAACGGAGCAATATTTCCGGAAAATTCGCTGTGAAATTCGAATTTTTCGAAATTTTTAAAAATTGCCATATTTCAACGATTCTGGAAAAATGGTTTAAGTTATCGAAGAAATGAAGCCAGAAATGACTTCTGAGGTCCAAAATCTACTAGAAAATATATTTAGTTAAATTTCGAAAATCGTCGAGAATGGTTCGAAATTTGCATAATGGAGGTAATACGAATACATAATGGAAAATTTCATTTTTGAAAAATTCATTTAAAAATTCTGAAATATTTCAAGGTATAGATCCCGGGGTGTTTATTCCAAAAGATAGCGTGTTTATGGCCACGGAGTAATATTTTTACTTCCCGAGCGTAAGCAAAGGAAGTATTTTAGAATGTATCCATTATCCATTGTTGCTTAAGAATTCTTTAATTTTTGTTTAATAAAATTTAGGTTTATTTCTTGAAGTTTGTTTTCAGTTGTGTATGAAGTTGTTATTCAATTCCCTTTCAGAATTTTGGGAAAATTGCTGATCCAAACAAATCGTTAATCCGAACACAACTTTTTCCCAATTAATTAGGATTATCGAGGTTCTACTGTACACTATACGTGTAATGAAAAGAACCAAATGTCACCCATGTATACTAGCTAAAATTGTATAAATTTTCTTATTTAGAACGAATTTCTGTAGATAGGTAAAATTGCACAAAAATTGCCCCCCCCCCCCCCCCCCCCCAACGAAATCCTGTATCCGCGCCTGCTTGTTAATGTATGACTGATTTTGGTAAATGACATACTCGTTACAAAAATAAAAGGTGGGTGAGTGGCGCTAGTATTCGCTAAAAAGGATTTGGTTTTGTAGTTCCTGATTAAATCAATAAAATAAATTTACGCATTCATTAATTTTTTTGAGTCACCCTGTATATGCAAATCCAAAAAATATGAATGGAATGATAAATCACAAGTATTGGCTCATCATACTTTGCACATTTAAGATAGGATTTATTCAGCAAAATTTTGAGGTGACGTCATCATTTTTTTAGGGGGGGACGAGGAAATATATTTTGACTAAAAATTTACCATGCCTATGATAACTGTAAAATATCTCCAAGATTTTAAAGTATTCGGTTTTGTAGTTCCTGATTAAATCAATTAAATAAATTCACCCATTCATTAATTTTTTTGAGTCACCCTGTATATGAAAATTCAAAAACTATGAGTGGAATGATAAATCACAAGTACAGACTCATCATATTTTGTACATTTTAGTTAGGATTTATTCGGCAAACTGTTGAGGTGACGTAATCAATTTTTTGGAGGGGATAAGTAAATATATTTTGAATCAAAAGTTATTATGCTTATCATAACTGTAAACCATCTGCAAGATTTCAAAGCATTGGGTTTTGCAGAATCCAAATTAAATATCAAAATGTTGTTTCCTAATTTTGATTTTTTTCCAAAAATCTAGTCGTTTCGGGTAAAATCTCAATTCGGAGTCATAAACTACATGTGTAAGACTATGTTATTTAAATACAATTTAAAACCCATTTAATATGTACAATTTTGAAGTGACGTCATCACATTAGTGGTGGGGATGATTAGACAAATTTTGGTTGGCGTTTTACCATCTACATGATATTCCTAATATAAGTACAAAATTCCACAACAATCGGTCCAGTACTTTCGGAGATTATCTGTTTAATAAAAATCCGGGACGGCAGACAGATGGACAGACAGACGGAAACGGGAGACCTATTTCTTAGTCATGATAGGTCAAGAAAATGCGATCACCTTAAATTATTATTAGTGTTGTTCTTAATTAATTCTTAATTCTGACGGACCCATCATTAGTCGTGAATCACCCTGTATACTATATTGATCTAAACTTCAAACATGGTGTTTTCGATGTAAAGTAGCATAAAACTCGACTTTTTCCTATACACTTTTATAACACCTAAAATGTGGTTTTGCTTGAAAATACAAATTCCTCCTCGACAACTAGAAAATATTTCCGCAAGCTGAAAATATTCAAGCGTATTTACCCCTTGCTCCGCGTCGAAAAAGCTCCAGCGTTTCAACCTCACATAAAAAAAAAGTGATCAAGTCGGGCGTGTGGATTAGGCAAAAAATACACATGCTTATAAGCACTTCTTTATTTCGTCACACTTAAAACTAGTTTACACAACAAAGAACAGCATATAAACATATGTATTTGCACAAATTTAGTAAGCAACCCCAAGGACAAACAAAGCCAGTGCAACTACCACAACCACTGTGAATTAAAGCCATCAAACGAGCCCGCGTTACCTTTCTCTGCCGACGACCGCTCCATGCTGAAGTTCTGGATGGTGGTGCGGTCGGCCTCCACGACGACTTTGACTAGCTTCGACGGCTGAAACCTAGACAAACCGGTGAGCGGCGTTCAGACGAGCGCGCTGCGACTCACCCGTAGGCGGCGGCGTACATCTCGTACTCCCCCGGCAGCAGCAGCCGCCAGTACTCGCCCCGGTTGGAGGTGGTGATGTTGTGGCGGACGCCCACCACGACGACGTCGGCGTCGAGGACGGGTTCGCCGTTTCGGTCGGTCACCAGGCCCTTGACGCCCCAGTGGCTGGCCTCTATGAACTGCAATATCGACTCTTTGTTGTTGGCCCACTCCGTGGGGAGGGTTTCTGCTTTCGGGAATTTGCAGCAGCTGAGCTCGAAGGTCACTTCGAAGCAGTTGGAATGGACGTAGTTAAAGTCTTGCATGCCGCCTCTGACCTCGTACCAGAAGGCACCGTTGGTGATTCCTTGGTCGAATTGGTCGCTTCGGCACGCTCTACCGCCCTTCATGAGAGGGTGGTTCTGGGCGTAGGTGAGAGCGAGCTTTTTGAAGAGAGCGTCGTCGGGGGATTTGCTTTCGCGGCAGCATTGGCGCTTGGAACTGGAAAAAAGGGGTTCCATTTAAAGCGCGAATTGCCGCCTACCATTTATTTTGAACTCATTGATTAATAAAATAATAGTATATTTCTTTCCTTACCCTGAGTCGTCAAAGGGGTAACTTGCAACGACAGCGCCCCCATGTAGATTCCCCGATAAGACGAATGGCCTCGATATGATCCAGGTCATGAGAGCTATTGTTTCGGGCTGGCGTCCCGCCAATATGGTCCCTAAATTGCCAAAATAACCACATTTCAGACGTTAAAGTAACCAAAAATGTTGAGTTAATACCGGTACGGACAGAGTCGAACTGATCCGGAAAATCGCGATTCAGGTCCTTGCTATTCTCGTTTTCTCGACCTGTATAACCGGGTTTTGACTCGCACATGCCTTCCTGTGTATATAAAAAAAAAGATTAAAAAAGTGAACACAAAAAAAACACCAAATAGAAGAGGGTGTGTAAGGTTGTATTTTCTGCAAGTGCAGTGTCTACTTGCTACGTCTAGCTACTTTTTCTACTAACATTTGAAGTAAAAATTGTCAAAAATTTGCGTTATTTTATATATTGATGGAAAAATAAAGAAAAGTAAAAACAAGTGTGGCTTAAGTAATGTGGTGAACCACTTACTGCTATATAGTGTAAGCGCAGAATTAACTACAAGGTCGCAAAAATTGAGAAAACAAATTAAAGGTGTCTGAGAAAAAAAAATCAGTATTAGTCTGGTCGGAACGAATGTTTATACTGAATCTGAACATTGCAATTGATTTCAAAGGTCTCTTCAATCACATTTTTGTTGAAAGCACAGAATTTGCTTGTAATACAATACAGAGTGAAAAAAGCTGCAACAAAAAATTAGATTTGCAAAAAAAATTACATGACGTCATCAGTTTTTTGAAAGAGGTGAATACATAAAGTTTTATACACGTACTGTCAAAACACGAAGATATTTCTCAAGACTTTTAAAAATTTTTGAGTTGACGTCATTAAATTCCTGAAGAGAACAAATAAATGATAAAATTTCCAAAAAATTTATTTAAGACAAATTAAAATTTCATTTAAAAAATTTATTTTTTCTACGTTAACTTAGATGCGTAAAATTAAAGTTTGAATACATTAATACACCACAAATAAATTTCAAGAGAAATTTTTGGTGGAGATGGGTAAATAAATTTTTGTTGGAGTTTTACAATCTACACGAAAATGTTAAAAGTAGTTTGGAAGAAATACGGCTTTTGTAAGGAAACACGAAAATACGTTGGTTTTTGACGTTTATTCGACGTAAAGTAACGCGTGACAGGGTAACGAACAACATGTACATTGTCCTTAGTAACTTAAGGGAACTCGTTGTTACTTGATAATTATTGCTAAACTTTTAAAGTTGCTACGTTCTAGTAACGTTAAATTGACGTAAAAAAATTCTACTGATCTACGTTTAAGTTGAAACTAGCTTCTAGACTTTGTTCTTAGATGCAGTTTGAAAAAGAAATAGCTGAGTTACGTTTATTCAACGTAAATTTTAGTTTGATTTTTTCAAAGTGGAAAAATAATTCCTCTGGTTTTTGAAGCTCATTAATGGTTCAATTTAGAAAATAATACAATTTATTTGATATTATAAAAAAAGGTGTGAAGTTCGTATTTCTTGGTAATCATGAGATAGCTTCCAATTTTTATCCTTATGTGTGGTTTGAATAAGCAACACCTCTAGATAGAACAGACAAAGTTCTTTGATGTTTCAGGTCAGTTACAAATTTATTACGCTACTATTTAACGTTTACTCAATGTAAAATAATACGAACACAAATCATGCAACATTACAGAAAAACCATAATGTTGAATTTGTTGACTTCAAGAAAACTGAATTTTGTATTAGGCATTTTCGTTTCAACGAGTAACGTTTTTTCCTTATAATAACGTAAAATCAACGTCGATCAATTTTTCTCTTCTTTAACAAAAAACGGATTTTTATAAGTTTAAGTTTGGTTTCTTCCAAGTGGAAAAATAATTCTGTGACGAAACAAATCAGTAAAAAAGTTAATACGCTGATATTTGACGTTGACTCAACGTATATTAATACGTATATAAATGACGATTCACCACAGAAAAACAACAATGTTGAACTTATTAACTTAAAGAAAGCTCAGTTTTCTACTAAACATTCAATTCAAAAGTTACAATTTTCTCCTTATAACAACGTAAAATCAACGTCGGCAAATTTTTCTTTTATTTAATAACAAAGAGATTTGTAATATTTTGAGCTTGATTATTTTAAAGCGAAAAAATAATTCCCTGATTCTTAAAGTTTATTCATTGTAGTAAAGAATAGTTCAGTGTATAAAATATCAAAATTTATTAAAAAAAAAAAATAGGTTGTAAAGGTAGTCCTTTCTACCAATGATCAGCTAGCTTCCAATTTTTGTACTTATGTATAGTTCCCATAAGAAATAGCTGTATACAGAATCAGATAAAATTCTGTGACGAAACAGATGAGTAAAAAAGTTATTACGTTGATATTTGACGTTGACGCAACGTATATTAATACGTATATAAATGACGCTTCACCACAAAAAAACAACAATGTTGAACTTATTAACTTAAAGAAAGCTCAGTTTTCTACTAAACATTCAATTCAAAAGCTACAATTTTCTCCTTATAGCAACGTAAAATCAACGTCGGAAAATTTTTCTTTTATTTAATAACAAAGAGATTTGTATTAGTTTGAGTGTGATTAATTTCAAGCGAAAAAATAATTCCCCTGATTTTTGAAATTTATTCATTGTGGTAAAGAATACTTCCGTGTATAAAATATTACAATTTATTAAAAAAAAACATAGGTTGTAAAGCTAGTTCTTTCTACCAATGATCAACTAGCTTCCAATTTTTGTACTTATGTATAGTTCTCATAAGAAACAGCTGTATATAGAATCAGATAAAATTCTGTGACGAAATAGATAAGTAAAAAAAGTTAATACGTTGATATTTGACGTTGATTCAACGTATATTAATACGTATATAAATGAAGCTTCACCACAGAAAAACAGGAATGTTGAACTTGTTAACTTAAAGAAAGCTCAGTTTTCTACCAAACATTTAATTCAAAAGTTACAATTTTCTCCTTATAACAACGTAAAATCAACGTCGGCAAATTTTTCTTTTATTTAATAACAGAGAGATTTGTATTAGTTTGAGTGTGATTAATTTAAAGCGAAAAAATAATTCCCCTGATTTTTGAAGTTTATTCATTGTAGTAAAGAATAGTTCAGTGTAGACAATATTACAATTTATTAAAAAAAAAAAAATAGGTTGTAAAGCTAGTCCTTTCTACCAATGATCAATTAGCTTCCAATTTTTGTACTTATGTATAGTTCCCATAAGAAACAGCTGTATACAGAATCAAATAAAATTCTGTGACGAAACAGATCAATAAAAAAGTTAATACGTTGATATTTGACGTTGACTCAACGTATATAAATGACGATTCACCACAGAAAAACAACAATGTTGAACTTATTAACTTAAAGAAAGCTCAGTTTTCTACTAAACATTCAATTCAAAAGTTACGATTTTCTCCTTATAACAACGTAAAATCAACGTCGGTAAATTTTTCTTTTATTTAATAACAAACACATTTGTATTAGTTTGAGTGTGATTAATTTAAAGCGAAAAAATAATTCCCCTGATTTTTGAAGTTTATTCATTGTAGTAAAGATCACTTCACTGTATAAAATATTACAATTTATTAAAAAAAAAAAAAATAGGTTGTAAACCTAGTCCTTTCTACCAATGATCAGCTAGGTTCCAATTTTTGTACTTATGTATAGTTCCCATAAGAAACAGCTGTATACAGAATCAGATAAAATTCTGTGACGAAACAGATGAGTAACAAAGTTATTACGTTGATATTTGACGTTTATTCAACGTATATTAATGCGTACATAAATGACGTTTCACCACTGAAAAACAACAATGTTGAACCTATTAACTTAAAGAAAGCTCAGTTTTCTACCAAACATTCAATTCAAAAGTTACAATTTTCTCCTTATAACAACGTAAAATCAACGTCGGCAAATTTTTCTTTTATTTAATAACAAAGAGATTTGTATTAGTTTGAGTGTGATTAACTTAAAGCGAAAAAATATATCCCTTGATTTTTGAAGTTTATTCATTGTAGTAAAGAATAGTTCGATGCATAAAATTTTACAATTTATTAAAAAAAAAATAGGTTGTAAAGCTAGTCCTTTCTACCAATGATCAGCCAGCTTCCAATTTTTGTACTTATGTATAGTTCCCATAAGAAACAGCTGTATACAGAATCAGATAAAATTCTGTGACGAAACAGATCAGTAAAAAAGTTAATACGTTGATATTTGACGTTGACTCAACGTATATAAATGACGATTCGCCACAGAAAAACAACAATGTTGAACTTATTAACTTAAAGAAAGCTCAGTTTTCTACTAAACATTCAATTCAAAAGTTACAATTTTCTCGTTATAGCAACGTAAAATCAACGTCGGCAAATTTTTCTTTTATTTAATAACAAAGAGATTTGTATTAGTTTGAGTGTGATTAATTTAAAGCGAAAAAATAATTCCCCTGATTTTTGAAGTTTATTCAATGTAGTAAAGAATAGTTCAGTGTATAAAATATTACAACTTATTAAAAAAAAAAATAGGTTGTAAAGCTAGTCCTTTCTACCAATGATCAACTAGCTTCCAATTTTTGTACTTATGTATAGTTCCCATAAGAAACAGCTGTCTACAGAATCAGATAAAATTCTGTGACGAAACAGATCAGTAAAAAAGTTAATACGTTGATATTTGACGTTGACTCAACGTATATTAATACGTATATAAATGACGATTCACCACAGAAAAACAACAATGTTGAACTTATTAACTTAAAGAAACCTCAGTTTTCTACTAAACATTCAATTCAAAAGTTACAATTTTCTCGTTATAGCAACGTAAAATCAACTTCGGCAATTTTTTCTTTTATTTAATAACAAAGAGATTTGTATTAGTTTGAGTGTGATTAATTTGAAGCGAAAAAATAATTCCCCTGATTTTTGAAGTTTATTCATTGTAGTAAAGAATAGTTCAATGCATAAAATTTTACAATTTATTAAAAAAAAAATAGGTTGTAAAGCTAGTCCTTTCTACCAATGATCAGCTAGCTTCCAATTTTTGTACTTATGTATAGTTCCCATAAGAAACAGCTGTATACAGAATCAGATAAAATTCTGTGACGAAACAGATGAGTAAAAAAGTTATTACGTTGATATTTGACGTTGACTGAACGTATATTAATACGTACATAAATGACGCTTCACCACAGAAAAACAACAATGTTGAACCTATTAACTTAAAGAAAGCTCAGTTTTCTACCAAACATTCAATTCAAAAGTTACAATTTTCTCCTTATAACAACGTAAAATCAACGTCGGCAAATTTGTCTTTTATTTAATAACAAAGAGATTTGTATTAGTTTGAGTGTGATTAATTTAAAGCAAAAAAATAATTCCCCTGATTTTTGAAGTTTATTCATTGTAGTAAAGAATAGTTCAGTATATAAAATATTACAATTTATTAAAAAAAAAAGGTTGCAAAGCCTAGTCCTTTCTGCCAATGATCAGCTAGCTTCCAATTTTTGTACTTATGTATAGTTCCCATAAGAAATATCTGTATACAGAATCAGATAAAATTCTGTGACGAAACAGATGAGTAACAAAGTTACTACGTAGATATTTGACGTTTATTCAACGTATATTAATACGTACATAAATAATGCTTCACCACAGAAAAACAGCAAAGTTGAACTTATTAACTTAAAGAAAGCTCAGTTTTCTACTAAACATTCAATTCAAAAATTACAATTTTCTCCTTATAACAACGTAAAATCAACGTCGGCAAATTTTTCTTTTATTTAATAACAAAGAGATTTGTATTATTTTGAGCTAGATTACTTTAAAGCGGAAAAATAATTCCCCTGATACTTGAAGTTTATTCATTGTAGTAAAGAATAGTGCAGTGTATAAAATATCACAATTTATTAAAAAAAAAAATAGGTTATAAAGCTAGTCGTTTCTACCAATCATTAGCTAGCTTCCAATTTTTGTACTTATGTATAGTTCCCATAAGAACCAGCTGTATACAGAATCAGATAAAATTCTGTGACGAAACAGATGAGTAACAAAGTTATTACGTTGACATTTGACGTTTATTCAACGTACATTAATACATACATAAATAATGCTTCACCACAGAAAAACAGCAATGTTGAACTTATTAACTTAAAGAAAGGTCAGTTTTTTACCAAACATTAATTAAAAAAAAAAACAATTTTCTCGTTATCACAACGTCAAATCAACGTAGGCAAATTTTTCTTTAATTTAATTTATTTTTTTACGTTAGCTTACAAGCGTAAAATTAACGTTTGAATACATTTAATAAACCACAAATAAAAGAATATGTAGTAATATAAACTTCAAGGGACATTTACTTGACAAAATTTTAAGATGACGTCATCAAATTTTTGGTGGAGATGGGTAAATAAATTTTAGTTTGAGCTTAACAATCTACCCAAAAAGTCTAAAGTACACTAGAAATTAAACATATATTATCAAAACGCAAGCTTATTTTCAATAAACCTTTAATAATTTTTGACAACTTCCTAGATGGGGAAAAATAAATACGTATTAAATCAATGTCAGTATTTTGCCAAAATTACTCACTTAGCACACACTTAGGAAGTAAAAAAATATCATATTATATAAACACAAAAACACTGATAACTGCATCATCAACAAATATTTATTTTTGAAACCACAAGCTCATATCAAGGAATCCCACCAATTAAATTCCATCTAATCATTCCCTTGAAACCCAAAAAACCCCAATTTGTGAATAGCAACATGATAAAAAAAAATAAAACATCATTAAAATATAATTCAACGTTTATATTAACACAAAATCATTGGTAACTGCATCATAAACAAAGATTTCTTTGAAAACCACAATTTGATTTCAAAAAATCCCAACAAACAAATATGAACCTACTCATTCGTCAAAAACCTGGAAACCCCATAACCCCATGTCCATTAAAAAAAAAACAAAGCAAGAAAATAAGCCACGTTAAATGTACCGCGACCAACAATATGGGTTATTGTTTCCCACTTCCAATACCAGTATTTACCCAATCACTTATCGCCCACCATCACCACCTCAAGGCCACATTCATCTCCCATTTACCCAATCAATTACCACCAACCTCTGAGTTCTCGTACCCATCCGGATTCATAGAAGGCATGAGATAGATATCCGTGCTGTTCACCAGCTTGGTCACCCTCTCGTCCTTCCCGTAGTTGTCAATCAAATACTGCGCTAAATATACCATCAACTGCCGCCCCACGGTCTCGTCCCCGTGCATATTCGCCACAAATTTGAACATGGGTGTAAGCAACGTCCTGTTTGCCACATTGCTGTTGATTTCGAGCGCCCACAAATCGCGGTTCTTCACAGATTTGCCCACACTTCTCAATTTGGCGATTTCCGGGTGTTCCGCCTCTAACTGTTTAAACAAATTCGTCAATTCGTCGTAATTGAGGTAACGAGGGTTATTGAGGAAGGATTCGTCGGCGGGATTCGAACGAATCCTGTGAGATTCACTAGACACTATCACTAAAACGAGGAATATTGCTTTCAGATACATTATTGCGTGGTTTGTGCGGGAAATTAACTAATAATTAGAGCATTTTCGCGATATTGATATGACGACAATGACGTTTGTTTGGAAACGTCAACGCGAAATGTCAAGCAATGATTGCCAACAGTGGACAAAAATCCCCAGATTTTCGAAATTTTCCAACAATAAATTATTAATTTTAATAATCTTGCAAACATTAACAACAAAACGCGAACCCACAACGAACAAATAAACAAGTTCAAGTAAATCTCCCAAAGGAATGTCAATAAATGCCATAGTGTGTCACTTCGTGAAAACATGTTTCCAAGAAGCTCAAATTTTAATAAAAGCGAGATTATTCATTCTGCGAATGCTTCATTTGCATTTTATCTCCCTATTTAGCATATTCGAATCAATAAAACCCCATTTTTTTCGCATACGGTTGCGCATTACCAGCCCTTCGCTTGTGGCGTATTGCTGGTTGCCTACCCCTCCCCGTAAATCAATGCCACTGTTTCATTGAAGAATTTTCAGTTTCAGGTGGTGGGGTCCGGGTAATTTTATTCAAATTTGCTTGAGTGAGCACCGCATTTAAAAAATCTGTGATTTCAGTGCTCAATCATGTTCGAATCAACCGAAAATTCTGAGTGATTTCCCGACGGTTTTTCCTTTTTCGGTCGAGATAGAGTTTGCGGTTTTTTATCTTCCAGAAGTTGTTCGAGAAAGAAGACTTAATTGAAGAGGAATCATGAAAGTGAGTATAATTGCGTTATTTTGGTGTAGTTATGTCGATTGTTACTTAATTTTCGAGATTTGCATAAATTAGAGTGGTGTCAGATTGCGGATTTGGAGTTTTGACGAGAGGTTTAATTAGTAAAGTTTTCCTTCACCTTGGCTCTTTTCTTTTTTCGAGAAGGTTGTGTTTGATTCGGTAATAGATAATGATAGGTGTTTAGGCTGCCGGTGTTTGCTGAGTGGTAATCAAAAATTGCTAATTATAATTAGCGATTTTTTTGTGATGAAATTGTGTACAGATGCATTAATCGAAGGTAAATATTGAAACCTAGTTTTTATTATAACTATAAGTGTTATCCATGACTTTAATGATGGAACAGTGTACTCAGTGATTTGTAATTGACTTTGTACGTACAGTGTAATTAACTACTTGTGTACCTACAGGATGTTTAAAAGCGTAAAGGTTGAATTTATTTTAATTTATTTATTTATTGGTGTTTTTCCAAAAAAATTTAATAAAGTTTAGCTCAAGTCACTAATTTTTTGAGGTAAACAGACAAAATTTAACCGATATTTTGTGAACTGTGAAATTTTGCAAAATTTCGAAAAAAACAAATGTAATGCAATTAATTTTAAAAATAATTTTGAAGCTTAATAATTACATCTTTTAAAATACTCCTATCTGGTATCAGCAGGGATTAAATTGACTTAAGATTTATCCAACACAAGTTAAATTGATCTCAGTTTTCCGGAATTTTTGAAATATCTGGCCAATAAAATCGCCAACAGATAGAAGCAAACGGCAAACCCGCGTTTTCGTATTCTGCAAGCTACAAAAAAACGCTAAAAAAACGTTTTTATCAAAATGGCCATATCACAATACTTACTGTATCTATCACTTGGTAAGTAAAAAACTTTTTTTTTTTTAAATTGGCATAGTGATCATTATAACCACTATAATGAAGACAAAAAATAAAAAAAAGAGTGGATATAAAGAAAAATAAAACCGAAATCACTGAATCGACATTATTAAAAAACACAGGAACAAATTTAAACAAGTTTGTTCCAAGAATTTCCCTATTTTTCACCGAAATTATTCAATAATTTTGTTTTATTTTGCAACTTTAAGATCCAAATGAAAAGAAAAATAAAGACAAAGAACAAATAACAAAAACTATTATTAAAATGAAAAAAAATAAGAAAAAAAGAGAAAAAAAAAAGAAAAAACAAATAATAAAATATATGATAAACAGAAACAACATAAATTTAAAATAAATAACGTTCTAAGGAGTCCCATTATAATAAAGGCATATTTTAAGTTATCTACCATATGATCGCAAAAAATCCTCTATAGTGGGCTATAAAATTTATTTTTACAATAATGATATTTGACACTTTATTTGACCATAACTGTCAAACTAAACAAAGAACCCGTTGCCAACATAATTATTTTGAAAATAAATTTCATACCCTACTATAGTACTTTTTTTGATCATATGGTATTGTCACATATTTTTTTATTCTATTTAGACTAATTTAGAGTGCACTGTGTTGTCGAAATAAGTCTACACATATTCAGAAAAAAGGGCAAAATGTTGCCCCGCCCACCCGCCCTACCTCAATTGTGATGACTTTGTTTTATTCGTCGTGAGCCAAAGGGGTGGAGCTTAACTGCAAAAACCTTATTTCTCTACGAGAAATTAAAAACATGTTTTTGGGTATGGTATTGTTCAAAGAATTGTATGTATATTAAGAAAAAAATAAAGCCAAAGATTAGGTCTCATCTATACCCGCCCCCATCTCAATTCACAATTGCGATGAATTTTTCATTCGTTGTCAGATCGAGGGGTGGGGCTTAATTGCAAGATCCACATTTGTCTACAAGAATTTACCATTTTAAACATGTATTAAGTTTCTTGTTCTGAAAAGATGACTACGTATATTGCGAAAAAAGGCAAAATATAAGCCCCGCCCACCCACCCTGTCTCAGTTCTGATGATTTTTTTTATTCGTCGTGAGCCAAGAAGGTGGAGCCTAACTGCAAAATCCTTATTTCTCTACGAGAAATTAAAAAGATGATTTTAAGTATCGTATTATTCAAAGATTACAATGTATATTAAGAAAAAATTAAAGCGAAAGATTAAGCTCCACCCATACCTGCCCTGATCTAAATAGTAATGAAGTTTTCATTCGTTAGCACAACTAAGGGCGGAGCCTGATTGCAATTTTACCATTTTAAACGTATTTTAAGTTTTTAAAAATAAAAAATCATCACAATCGAGATGGGGGTGGGTGGGCGGGGTTTATATTTGGTCTTTTTTACTTAATATACACAGTATTCTTTGAATAACATGATACTCAAAAATATATTTTTGATTTCTTCTAAAGAAATAAGTATTTTTCAGTTAACTTCCGCCCCTTTGCTTAACGGCGAATAAAAAAATCATCACAATTGAGACAGGGCGGGTGGGCGGGCTTACATCTTGCCTTTTTGTTTTAATATGTGTAGACTTCTTTTCACAACATGAAACTTAAAACATGTTTAAAATGGAAAATTTGTATAAAGAGATATCGATTTTGCAATTACGCTCCGCCCCATAACTGCAAAATCCATATTTTCTTGAAAAATGTACCATTTTAACAATATTTTCAGTTTCTTGTTGTAAAGAGATATGTATATTTAGAAAAAAAGATGCAAAATATAAGCCCCGCCCACCCGCCCTATCTTAATTCTGATGATTTTTTTTATTCGTCGTGAGCCAAGGGGACAGAGCTTAACTCCAAAATCCTTATTTCTCTAGGAAAAATGAAAAACATTTTTTTTAATATCGTGTTGTTCAAAGAATTCTATGTATATTAAGAAAAAATAGAGTCAAAGTTTAGGCCCCACCCATACCCGCCCCAACTCAATTCTCAATTTTTCATTCGTTGCCATATCGAGGGGCGGAGCCTGATTGCAAGATCCATTTGTGTCAACAAGAATTTACCATTTTAAATATGTATGTCTAAAATTTCTAAGAATAAAAAAATCATCACAATTGAAATGGGGTGGGTGCGCGGGGTTTATATTTGACCTTTTTTTCTTAATATAAACAGTATTCTTTAAACAACACGATACTAAAAACATATTTTTAATTTCTTCTAAAGAAATAGGTATTTTGCAGTTAAGCTCCGCCCCCTTGGTTCACAGCGAATAAAAAAAATCATCACAATTGAGATAGGGGAGGGGGGGTCTTAGATTTTGCCTTTTTGTTTTAATATGTGACTTCTTTTCACAATACGAAACTTAAAACATGTTTAAAGAAATATCGATTTGCAATTAGGTTCCGCTCCATAAAAATGTACCATTTTAACCATGTTTTAAGTTTCTTGTTGTGGAAAGATGGCTATGTATATTAAGAAAAAAGGGACAAAATATAAGCCCCGCCCACCCGCTCTATCTCAATTCTGATGATTTTTTTTATTCGTCGTAAGCCGAGGGGCGGAGCTTAAATGTAAAATCCTTATTTTTCTACGAGAAATTACCATACTATGTTCTTAAGTAATCATGTTATACAAAAAAAAAAACTAAATTATTAATTAAAAAAGAAAACCAAAAATGAAGACCCACCCACTTCAATCGTGATGAATTTTTCATTCGTTGCCAGACCGAGGGGCGGAGCGTAATTGCAAAATTAATATTTCCCTACACAAATTTACCATTTACTTGTTTTAAGTTTTTTGTTGTGAAAAGACGACTAACTACATTAAGGAAACAAGACAAACTGTAGCCCCGCCCACCCACCCTGTCTCAATTGTGACGACTTTTTTTTTATTCATAGTGAGCCAAGGGGGCGGAGCTTAACTGCAAAATCCTTATTCTTCTACAAGAAACAAAAAACATGTTTTTGAGTATCGTATTGTTCAAAAAATACTATGTATACTAGGAAAAAAAACAATCCCAAAATTAAGCCCCGCCCCTATCCATCCCAAGCTCAACTGTGTGCATTTGTTGTCAAACCGAGGGGCGGAGCCTAATTGCAAAATCGATACTTTCCTACAAAAATTTACCATTTTAAACATGTTTTAGCTTTCTTGTTATGAAAAGAAGACTACACATGTTAAAAAATATTTAAAAAATATATATAAGAAAACGGAAAAAGAAAACATTTTTTTTAATAATTAAAATTATGACAAAAATATTGAACTTGAATAATTGGCTATAAATATTTAAAAAATAAATAATAAGAAATTTACGACTTCTGTATTCCCAAATTTTCGGAAAAATGGCGTGAGTTCAATAAAATAAATTGTCTCAGTCATTAATTTTTTGAGTCACCTTGTATAAGTAATTCTAAAAACTACGAGTGCACTGATAAACGTCATCAATTTTTTGGAGGGATATATTTCGATTAACGATGTACCATGCTTACGATAACTTTAAAACGTTTGCAAGATTTCAAAGCATTTGGTTTTGAAATTTCAAAGATAAATACCAAAATGTTATTTTACAGTCCCGATTTTTTTTTTCTCAAAAATCCGGATTTCTAGGGTAAAACTGAAGACGGATTCATAAACCGCCGCTGTATGTTACAAATTTTAAATAAAATTTGGTGGTGGTGATGATAAAATAACAAAATAAAAAAAATATTTCTTGTGAGAGAAAAAAAATTGAGAAACAGCATAAATTTAAAATAAATAATGTTTCATAACAAAGGCACTTTTTAAGGTACCATCTGATCGATCTAGCGGGTCATGAAATTTATTTTTAAAATAACCATCGCAGTTATTTGACACTTTATTTGACAGTTATTTGACTGCCAAACTATGCATAGAACACGTTGGTGTTGCCAACATTATTATTTTAAAAATAAATTCATGGCCCACTGGAGGATTTTTTTTAGATCAGATGGCATTATCAGAATGCAAGAAACATTTGAAAAGAATAAAAATTACAAGTATGTTAAATCTACTTTTACTATTATTAAAATGAAAAGGTTCTAATCTAAGGACAAGTTTTAAAGATATCAGCAGAATGTAAAAAATATATATAAGGAATCCCTTTTTAATTATTATAGAAGAATAAATAATGTCAAAAAAAGATGTATTTAATATTTTTTTTAAGTGACGTCATCCATTTTTTGGCAGGCAACACCAAATAAAAATAAACCAAGCTTTTGGTATTACAGTTGTAAAATAAAAATTCAATGAATAAATTTCAACATCCACATTCGAATGAGAGAGAAAAAGATATATCGCACTGTGAGAGCAATACCCACGTAAGTCAAAATTTGCCGAATTCTGAAATTTATCATTAATGCATAAAAAAGTTAATGTAGTTTTAGTATATAAAAGTATAAATGGTTTTTAATAGTTACGCAATGCTCAAATTCATCAAAATGTTTGTATTGCATTTCCGAACATTACGTGTGCGCTTAATGCAAGACTGCCGTATCTCAAAACTAAGTGAAATGCACGTAAGCTATGAAGCTATGAGATTTCCGTCGATGTTGATAATCTGATACTCCTACTAATTTAGGTACAAATTGAACACAACAAATGCACAATGTCTTCTGATATAGTTAAAAATTGACCGAAAACATGGAAATCAATTTTTCTTTGAATAGGAAAGGTAGGAAAGTTAATTAGAGCGAAATGAAAAAATTAAAATTTGTGAAAAACTCCGTTGGAATTTTGTAACTTCGTATAGAAAGGAAGTATAAAATATATCAGGAAATAATAGTCAATCAATTCCCGAACATTACGACAATGGCGCATCAGACTTAAATGAAAATGATTAAACAATATGTATGAAGGTCCTTGAGCAATACGTAAAAAAATTCGATGGACTGAATCAATTATGTATAAAAAAACGAAATAAATAAAATTATAACACATTTTATAACAATTTAGCCATAATACACTGACCGGCAAAAAAACCGGCCACCCTGAAAATTTCGCAAAACGAAGCTTTAAAAATTATTAATTTAACTAGTGATCGTTATTTTATTAAAGAACCATTCACTATTGACATATAAGGTATAAATTAGCAAAAAAAGACGCCAATTAAACGCAGAATTAAATTTAATTTAACAAAATAACAGAAACAGAGCGACGAAAGAAGTCTGTAAGAGTTAACGGAATTATTTTCACGTGAAAACGTTTATTAATTGCCAAATTTATAATCAAACGATGAAAAACACTATTTACAACAACAGCCTCCTTTATTGTTTTTTTTTTTTTTTTAAGAAAATATCGTACTTGGTCTGTTTCTGTTATTTTGTTAAATTAAATTTAATTCTGCGTTTAATTGTCTTCTTTTTTGTGCTAATTTGTACATCATGTGTCAATAGTGAATGATCCTTTAATAAAATAACGATCACTAGTTGAATTAAGTTTTAAAGTGGTTTTGCGAAATTTTTCAGGGTGGCCGGTTTTTTTTGCCGGTCAGTGTAGATGTTGAATTAATTAATACTGTGATTGTTTTGTGTTTTGTTACATTTTTTTCATTACAATGTGTTGCTAGTTTGCTCTTGTCTTAAATTTATTAACACGCAAGCCAAAATATTTGATATGGTGTAGCAGTGCAATAGTCACGTAAGTCAAAATTTCTTGTTTTCTATAACGAGTAGAAGGGTCTACTCTAAAGGAATAAAAACACGATTAATAATAGATTGACAATACGACTATAATGTATTTCGAAGCCATTGGTATTTAAGATACAAATAATATATAATAACTTGGGAATTTTAAATCATCATTACTCGAAACACGCTGGTTTTGAGTTACGTGAGTATTGCTCTCACAGTGCGATATATTATAATATAACGTTGAAATAAAACAAATGTCCCTGAAGACGAACTGGAAATTATACACACCTATGTACCTATACAATGTTCCAACAAAGAAAAACCAGCAATAAATAACAAAATCGTGAAAAAAATGCAAACATTCAACTAAAAAAACAAAGTCCACCTAGACCTTGACAGCTTCCTGTTAAATTTTTTCGACATTTGCGAATAATTTCCGTAAATGTCTTCCTACGGCTACCAGAATACAAACGACTTCATTTCTACCGGTACTAAACCAACTTCCTCAACTACGCTCCTAAAACCCATTGATGGTTCACTGACTTTCGATAGACACATCCCTTGCAATAAAATCGCACCCAACCCATCAAAACAAAACCCCGACGTGGGTGCGGAGGTTATCGAACTTCAAACATTTTCAAACGAAAGTAAAAGCCTCTGAACATTTAGAGTAACCTTTCATCACCGACCTCCTTAAGATTGCAGCTAATGTGTGCCAAGTTTATCCAAATACTGGTCGCCTGTGGACCAAAAGGAGGCCAGGAGCACCGCCGAAATTGTTTCTGAAAGCTGTGTGCAAACACCTATGCGCTTACCTTTTCGAACAATATTATAAATAATGAGTGAAAATATCTAAATTACACACCTTCATACGTACAACATAGCATTAACCGAAGTTAACTTGTTAGCCAAGACCGCGTTTTGTGTTTCTTCATTAAAACGGGTTTTATCACATTACTTGCATAATTGTCTTGTTTAGGTTCCAATCGCCGTTTTGCTCTTCGTGGGCCACGTCACGGCGACGGTGCTTATCGCTGATAACACGATGTCGAAGATGCTGGAGTTGACCACGAGGAGGCCTTTTTGTCACGTGCATACAGACAGGTGTGTAGTGTAAATAATAACTTAGGGTAATCCGGGAGGAATAATGAGTGAAGATGCAACCCAAAATACATTTGTAATGTACAATATAAATCCATACTACTGTATACATTGTAAATACGATTTATCCTGAAAAATTTTGAGGTGACGTCATCAAAATGTTGGTGGGGAGTCATGAATCGTCAATTGAACTAAAATTAACCATTACTTACGTTCGAGACTTGAAAAATGGAAATATCAGCAAGTACAAGATGCTTTCGCATGTGAGGATTGAAATTTATTGTTAAAAGAAGGATCTGCGAAACAACTAATTTAGGGGAGATTTTTAATCTTCGTCACCTAATTCGAAATAACTTTCAAACATCGTGAAATGTCAAATTCGTGTATATAATCTCATATTTTGTATGTACATGATAATTATTCAGATTGTGTCGACTGAAGTATTTTTAACGTTCGTTTTCATTATTATTCCACGTGGAATTAATGTATGGCATTATAGTGCTAAAATCGCGCATATAATGCATATTTTATTTATTTTGTGGTATTTAAATTAAGAGGGATTTTCTGCAAAATTTTAGTTACAAAAAAAAAACTACAAACAGTTCCAAGAAAATAAATTCATAGCTTTTCAAAACTCTACAACTTATTTATTTTTTGTTTTTTTATTTATCAAAACCGGCACAAAACTCTGTCTTTGGAAGTTCCACTAATTATGAATTCAGTAACCGCAGCATTTCCATTGGAAATAAATTTCTTACCACGCATGGGTTTTTATTAGTTTAACAGTGGTAAACACAAAGATTATTTCAAATACCGGCTGATTTATTAACGATTGAAGCAAATTTTTGAGTTGGCAATTCTGAATTATTGGCAGCATGTCTGTTAACAGTTGTCAATTTTGACATGATGCTTAAAAACCATTGAGAAGTTTGCAGCTACTGAATTGATGCCCATAATTTGATTTCGAGTGGGGTATTTCATCATAAAATTTTAAATGTGTTACCAACCTGACAAAAAAATGACAAGATTAAAAGTCACTATTTTCTCTGAATATTTTCCGATGCCTTACTTTTTTTCCACACTTAAGTAATTTCTGTTGTCGTATCAGCTTTTTTCATTGTTCTGCTAATGTGGAATATGCTACGAAAAATAAAGCTAGGCACTTAATTAAGTTTTCACTTCTTTTTTTCTTTCTCTATTTTCCGAAAATTTGAAGGCGGATTCATAAACCACAAGTGCAGGAGTATTTCTAAAAAATGTACAAAACTTTGAGGTGACGTCATAAAAAGTTATCTCCACCAACTTATAAACATCACCTCAAAATTTTGCATGATAAATGTTATGTAAATTTTATAAAATAGCGTAATCTTATAGTTGTGGTTTATGATTCCGCCTGGAATGTTTACTATACGATTTCAGTTTTTCCCAAAAAAAATACATTGTGTAAAAAGATTTTATACCAGAATAAAATAATCACAGGTTAGTAAAAATGCTTTCCACCTTTTTTTCTAAATTCTAGTTGAAGTTTTGTTTTATCTTCACCTATTGTGTATATTTACGCTTATTATCTGTTCCCGATATAATACACAGTTTTCTTGTTTCACTCAAATACATCGGCTACCTGGAAAGACATATTTGAAATTTGAAAATGTCAATTAACACAAGAAAAAATTTGGTCTCATATTATTAGACACAGCATAAAACATATTAAATCTGATAACAATCAATCCGATAGTTTCGGAGATGAGCTATTTAATAAAAATCGCACACAGTCGACAGACGATAGAAAGACGGACAGACGGAAACGGGAGACCTATTTTTTCATTCTCTAGCGGTCGTCAAACGTTGTGGAAACATAAAAGTAGCCGTTCGCCCGATGGATTCTATTGTAATATGCTTTCATTGCTTACACTCAGGAAGTAAAAACGATAAAATGAATACATCATCTGTGCTTTCGCCGAAAATGACATAAACTGTTTTCAAAAAAAAAACAGAAATTATTGTACTAGAATCCACAAGAAATGGCGAATACAAAAGTGATAAAAATAAACACCAAAAGTAGCTACAAAAAGCGACAAATAAAGTCACAAAAAAGGAAACTGAAAAATGATAAAAACACAAAAAGTCCACAAAAAGGCGCCAGAAAATGTGAAAACAGAAGACAAAAAATACATATCTACAAATAAGAAAAAACCGGTACAAAAAGTCACTAATAAAGGGGCTCAAAAAACGACATAAAAAAATGTAAAAAAGTGTCAAAAAAATATATACACAAAAAACAACAAAAAGTCCATGAAAAGACTGCAAAATAGTAGACAAAAAATTCAAATGGAAACAACACAAAACTAGAGCAACAAAAAATCACAAAAAAGAAAAACACTGGACAAAAACTTGACAAAAAAAGCGCCAAAAAGTCCGGAAGAAGACTACAAAATCAAAGGATAAAAAAATTCAAGAAGAAGGGCGAAAAGGCGACTCCAAAGAGTGAGAAAGAAAGTCGATAAAAAAGACCAAAAACGCAACAAAAAGGAACTAAAACGCAACAAAATTCGGTCGAAGGTTGTTTCGACAGAACTTCCCTCGTCCTTGAAGTAAAGCCCAATAAATCACCTGACGTGGAAAAAGTAGTTATGGAATTTGATTTTGAGATTTTTGTTTTTTACCGCTATAAAGTAAAAACTTAGGGAGTAAATAGAAAACTCCGAAAAATCTAAAAACAGAAACATTGATAAATCAAGTATCGAAAATAAAAAAAATGTCGAATTCGACTTTTTCTGGATCTTTTAATGTTTCGATTTCTCGATGGTTTAATTTTCAGTTGTTAGCTGTTTTGAGTATTCTTGGTTTTTAGATTTTTCGACTTCGATTTTTCGATTTTCCAATTTTTTGATGTTTCAATTTTTCAATTTCTCGATTTTTCAGTTGATTGATTCCTCAATATTTCGATTATTCGATTCGTTTTTTTTTTTAATTTCAGATCTTACGACTTCTCGATTTCTCGTTTTTTGATTATTCAGTTTTTCAATTTTTCAGATTTTCGTTTTTTTAAATTCCCCATTTATCGATTTTCAATTTTTCCATTTTACCATTTTTTAATTTGTTTAAATTTCCGTTTTTCGATTTTTCAAGTTTTTCGTTTCTATATTTTTCAGTTTATTGATATTTTAATTTTACATTTTTCGGTTTATCGATTCCTCAAATTTTCGACTTTTCGATTTCTCGATCTTTTGATGTTTCGATTTCTCGACGTTTCAATTTTTCGATGATTCGGTTTCTCGATTTGGAGTTATTTCCATTTTTCGACTTTTCGGCCTTTCGATATTGCAAATTTCCAATTTTCAAAATTTCGAATTTTAGATTTTTCTATTTACCAAGTTTTCGGTCATTCAATATTCGTATTTTTTTAGTTTCGACCTGACCTGATTCGTTGAATTTTCGATTTTTCAATATTGGAATTTTCCTTTTCGATTTTTCGACTTTTAGTTTTTCAATTCATCTATTTTCCAAACTTTCGAATTTTCGCATTCCCGATTTTTCAATTTTTCCATTCTAGTTCTTTGACTTTTCAATTTCTTTGCTTTTCGATTTTTGGATGTTCCAATATTCAATTTTTTTACTTTTCGACATCGCAATTTGGATCATTCGAAAAATCGAAAAATGATAAAACTGAAAAATTTAAAAATTTAAAAACCAAGAATTGAAACATCGAAAAACCGAAAAATCAAAAAACGAGAAATCGAGAAATCGAAGAAATTAACATAACAAAAAATTGAAGAATCATGATTGAAAATTCCCAAAAATCGACCTCCAAAAATTGATCAATCAATAAATCGAAAAATTGATAAATCCCAAAATTGAAAAAGAAAAACCGATATATCGAAAAATTGCAAAATCGAGAAATCGAAAAGTCGAGGAAGAATCGAAAATATGAAAATGGAAAAATCGGTAAATCGTTAAATTGAAAAGCTGAGATGCTGAAACATCGAAAAATTGAGCAGTGGAGAAACAGCAGAATCAAAATATCCAAAAATCAAAAAAATTATTTATCAAAAGGTCGAGAAGTCGAAAAAACCGAAAAATCAGAAAGCCTAAAAATTGAGCAGCCGAGGAATGGGAAGATCAAAATATCTAAAAATCCGAAAGTCGAAAAAGTCAGAAATGGAAAATTAGAAAAATCACAAAATCGAAAAATCGAAAATTTAGAAACGCCAAAAACTGGGATATTATAAATCGAAAAAGTGAAGACTCGAAAATTTAAAAATCCTACAACTCGAATATCGAAAAATGTCTAAATCGAAGTAAAATTGAAGAATAAAACTGAGAAATCGAAAAGTCGAAAAACAATTGAAAATTCAAAATATCGAAAAATCAAAACATCTAATAGTCGAAAAGTACAGAAGTCGAAAAATCGATGAATCGGAAAGTCGAAAAATCAAAAAATCCAAAAACCCGATTAATAGAAAATTAGAAAATTTAGAAACACTGGAATATTAAACAATCGAAAAATTTAAAAATCGAGAAATTGAAGAATCGAAAAATTAAGAAATCGTAAAACTGAATTATGGGAAAATAGAGAAATCTAAAAATAAAATCATCGAAAAATGAAAAATTGGAAAAATCGAAAAATTTAATAGTCAAAAAATTGGTCGAAAGTTGTAAATTTTGACTAAAAGGTTACCATGCTTACAATAACTTCAAAACGTCTGCAAGATTTCAAAGTAATTTTTCTGCGATTCTTGATATTGAATCAATAAAATAAATTGATTCAGTCATTATTTTTTTTTTGAGACACCCTGTAAAATCAAATCTCACCATATTTTGCACATTTAAGAAAAAGTCCACAAAAAATGCGAAAACGGAAGACAAAAAAATGCGAAAAAAAGACACTCCAAAAACAAGGGAGCCAAAAACGGGACAAAAAAGAGGATACAAAACTCGACAAAAATTTCACAAAAGGAGCGCCAAAAAGTCCGAAAAAAGACTACAAAATCGGAGGACAAAAA